GAACCTAATGTCTCCTCTTGACGATGTACTACGAATTTCATGACAGGTGATTTACACTGATCATGAATTTCAACCTTGGTAATCAAACTACTTGACTCACCTAAATTCTTGAACATATCTGCACACATTTCGCTTGAGTTAGTGCACATAAGTAAGCTTAGTTCAGGCCGATGTTTGCTACCACTTGATAAACACAACGGCCGATCAGTCATGATAACACACATTCAGAAAACCACTGGTTTAAACCATAATAAGCAAAACAGCAAAAACTTCGACTGTTTCGTCCTCCATGTAAATCCAACGTCAACCAATGTTTTTCCTTCCCTATATTGAGTTAACTAACGGCACCATAACATTTACGATTGAAAAACAAATTTCTCAGATTAACTCTTACAGTCTCATAGTTGCAACCACCTTGGTATTAAATGAACTGTCTTTAAGAATATGATCTATATTCGGTTTAATTAATGAAACTAGAGTATTTACTACGCACAACCACCTTTTTGATGAATATCCTACTGATATGAAGCGGGTTGTGAAGGTGATATAACTGCAGACTTCAAAATTTTAGGAGTAAAGAATTCGTAATCTAATTTTACGTCAATAATACTGTTCACATTTCTTTTCATCTTCACTACTCAATTTGTATAGTTGACTCTTTTAAAGGTAGTGAAACATAATCTAGTTACTTGCTCTTACTAGCTGAAATTAAAAAAGTCAGTAGATATCTGAATATGTGGCAAAAACGCTGTCCTCAAGAATTATTATACAAACACTTTCCGCTTCACTTACCTCTAGTCTAAACCTACACAACAGTTCTCCAAATTGATGTAACTAAACTGTCAGGGTTTTTATAACTCATAATGTTTCATTCACCAACTTTAAAGAGTGCCTATCATTCCTAAGCCATTTCATTGAAATGTTTATATTTCTAACAGGTTTGTACACCAGAAACAATTTTATTTTAATTGAGCCAGCTGTTTGCTTTAAACTGTTATCAAGTAGTGAATTCTTATCTGCAAAATCCTGCATGTATGCTAACGTCTTTCCTGTATTACCGCTCAGACTATATACATTATGACTAATTAATGCCCTTTTCTTCTGACAATCTGATATGTGTTTCTGCTTTATAAGGAGAGACTAAAACGAGCAGACAGTGATAGACTTACTTGCACAATTCTACCAGATTTATCAGTGTAATGACGTTCAACATGGATAGGCCTGTTACACCAAATATTAGCATCACTGTAACGCAGCATTCAAAATATATATTTGTATAAATGCTGTTCCTACTAAGAAAACTCAACCAGATGTGTGACAAAAATGTTCATGCTAGTACCAAACTATGTGTTTGAAACTTCTTCCTCGGTACGAAAATCCTGGTATCGTATTCACTCTGAGACTAGGCACAAGAATTAACAAGTAATATGGATATGTTAGCACTTTGGGTTGTAAATTATACAGGTTCAATATTATACTGCATCATAAACAGCTCTATATCTGAATTTCGCAAAGCTATGTACTGGTACTTATTTAATTTGCAAATTAGCTATCAACTATTACAATAAGCACTCTAGTTTTACTGCGAAATCAGTCACCATATACTGATTGGATTTTCAGTTAGTCTTAAATTCTAACGTATTTCTGCTTGAAATCATAAAAGACATAGGTCATAATGTGTGAAATAATAAAATTCTAAGTATTTTACATTTTCATTGTCTAAGATCATTTTAATGACTTAATCCAGTTGTTGATTTGCTCCGTATTCAGATTCAGATTCTATGTGTGAATGTTCATATATAATTTCTGATGACATCATGTATCAGCTAATCGATCACTAGTCGATTCTGTTGATTTATCTCTGTTTGGCTAAAAGAATATGTATGGGTGAGAATAAAGCTGAAGTTGAGAATATACGAAGCTGAAACTCAATAGTTTCAAACAAACTTTGTATTTGCACAGAGTAATTTCTATAAATTACATGGTGTGCCTCACGTATCTTACTGTTAGTTGAAAATAGCTTATTATCAACATTACAGAAATGAAAGCATAGATAGATCAATGTTAGATCATTAGTACTTACTTACTTACTTAAGCCTGTTACCCCCAATGGAGCATAGGCCGCCCACCAGTTTTCTCCAACCAACTCTGTCCTGGGCTTCCTTCTCCAATTCTGTCCAATGTTTGTTCATTCCTCTTCTGACAACCAGAGCAACCATTTTTTTAGGTACATGGAACGTTCGTACATTATGGGAGACTGGAAGACTATTACAAGTTGCGGCAGAAATGAAAAGATACAACCTCGAGGTGCTCGGCATCAGTGAAACGCATTGGACACAGGTAGGACAACTGAGACTTGCTTCAGGGGAACTGCTGTTATACTCTGGTCATGAAGAGGAAAATGCTTCACATACACAAGGAGTTGCACTGATGCTGTCCAAACATGCACAAAAGGCACTGATAGGATGGGAATCTCATGGACCGAGGATCATCAAAGCATCCTTCAAAACAAAGAAACAGGACATTGCAATGAACGTCATCCAATGTTATGCACCTACCAATGACTACAATGACGACGTTAAAGATCAATTCTACGAAAGGCTGCAGTCAATCGTCGAGAAATGTTCACCAAAGGATTTGACGATTCTTATGGGAGATCTGAATGCCAAGGTTGGCATGGACAACACTGGATATGAAGACATCATGGGACGACATGGACTGGGAGAAAGGAACGAAAACGGTGGGAGATTTGCAAACCTATGTGCCTTCAACAAACTGGTCATCGGTGGCACAATATTCCCGCACAAACGCATACACAAAGCCTCATGGATTTCACCGGATCACACTACTCAAAACCAGATTGACCATATCTGTATCAACAAAAAGTTCAGAAGGATCATGGAGGATGTGAGAACCAAGAGAGGAGCTGATATAGCTTCAGATCACCACTTGCTGATCGCCAAAATGAAACTGAAACTAAAGAAGCACTGGACAACGGGACAGACAACATCGCACAAGTTTAATACGGCCTTTCTTCAGGATACTGTAAAGCTCAACGAATTCAGGGTAGCCCTCACCAATAGGTTCCAGGCCTTTCAGGATCTACTCGATGGAGAGGACGCAACATTGGAGAACAATTGGAAAGGGATTAAGGAGGCAATCACTTCAACATGTCAGGGGGTCCTTGGTCGCAAGAAGCACCATCACAAGGAATGGATCTCTGTTGGTACTCTTGAAAAAATTGAAGAAAGGAGGAACAAGAAGGCGGCAGTGAATGTCAGCCGAACAAGAGCAGAGAAAGTTACCGCACAAGCTGCATACACAGAAGCAAACAGGGAAGTGAAGAAGAGCATCAGAGCTGACAAACGAAAATATGTGGAAGATCTAGCAATGACGGCGGAAAAGGTTGCAAGAGAAGGAAACATTTGTTGTTGAGTGTGCGATAGAAGAGCCAGGTCATCTGCGAAGTCCAGATCGTCCAGCTGCGTCCTAACTGTCCAGTTGATACCGTGCTTCCCTCCAGATGTTGACGTCTTCATAATCCAGTCGATGACCAGGAGAAAGAGAAAGGGTGAGAGTAAGCAACCTTGCCTGACACCGGTCTTCACCTCAAAAGCGTCTGTCAGCTGACCTCCGTGCACGATTTTGCAGTTGAATCCATCATAAGAATTCCGTATGATGTTGACTATTTTCTCAGGCACGCCGTAGTATCGAAGAAGCCTCCACAATGTTTTCCTATCCACGCTATCAAATGCCTTCTCGTAGTCGATGAAGTTGATGTAGAGTGGTGAGTTCCATTCAATTGATTGTTCCACAATGATCCGTAATGTAGCAATTTGGTCAGTACACGATCGATCCTTACGAAATCCGGCCTGTTGATCTCGAAGTTGGGCGTCTACGAAGTCCTTCATTCTGTTTAACAATACTCTGTTGAAGACTTTGCCTGGTATTGAAAGAAAGATCATTAGTGGAAACCTGCAAACTCTGTCACACACACAGAGTTCTGAATAATTTAATAAATTGTTCAGTTTTTGCTGATTTTCTCACAAAACATCCAAGATTTCGATTTGTGATACATAAAACATTATCTACTGAATAGTTGACCGTAAAACAGAAAGTACAATTTACATAAAACTAAAAATTCTATTCATTTTGCACAGATTTAATTGAATAACAAGTTTCGAACATTTTTCATATACTTTTTGGTTTTTTTTTCAATAAGTTTTCTTCTACAATGATTCGAGCCCTTCATCCTGTCTTACAAGTCACTTGAATTGTAGTTTTACTGCATACATTTCAAAAATATGATGTTCGGTAACCAACCACTTCACCTTTGCAACAAATAATTATACTTCATGATAACAAAATCGATCGAAGAATATGCTCTTTATAGCATATTTTAAACAAATACTCTATCATTTAGCATTAAAAATGCATCCCAAGCCTCCTAAACGACGTGATTTATGTCTTTAACAATAGTTTTCATCAAATTTTTGAAGAATTGTTAGAAACTGCAAATCTATAGTCATGACTTTTTGGGAGTTTTTATTGGTATTCTTAAACATTTCTTTTTTTTCAACGTATACTATGGTGAACAGATTCCGTGAATAATTTAACGGTTAACTTGAATAAATAACTAATGTTTCGATTGATCCAGTATACTGGTTTTTAGTTGAACATATTTTAATGAAACATATATATATATATATATATATATATATATATATATATATATATATATATATATATATATATCACTTTATAACACGGAATTAACTTGTCAGAAAACTACTGTATGTCGTTATTTTATTCTTATTCGTTTAACGCTTAGTAATGCTTTTTTTATTAAGATTGTGATTAATGCATTCGTGCTTTGCACAACGTTCATAATTCATTTTTATTTTGAACAACTTAAATCTATTCAGTAAAACCAACTTCACTTTGTCTATAAAATATTCATATAAAATAAAATACAATAAAATAAAACAGAAACCATCATCTTTCTGATAAATTTTATTATTCAGGCAGAATTGTTAAATAATGAATACATAAATGTCTGGATTTACGCTGTTGTTGTTGTAAATGTATACTAATATGTATATTTTAGAAACGTACAGTTTATTTGTTGCGTTTATGCAAACTGAATGTATTATAATGATATTGATCATTATGTATGATATCTGGTAGGTGATGGTAGACCTAAAATGAATCGTTTATTATAATGTCTATGCGACGATGGTGGTAGACCGAGCAGAAAACGTTTATATTCAACTTTAGGCGGTAGACCAAGTAGAAATCTTTTCTCTTCGCTGAATAAATTATCATCATCATCAACACCAAAATTATTCAAATAATCTGGCGCATAACCGTAACGATACATTGGACGTCTGTATCGATTGAATGAATAAGGTGGTTGACTTAATCGTTTCGGTGTTGGTAATGCTAACAGAAAACGTTTCTCTGCACTCAACTCTGAAGCCTCATTATCTGCTTCCATACAATGAATATGATTGGTTAGTATGAGAAATCCAATCAGCATACAATAGATTAGTTGAAACCAATTGTTATTCATATTAATTGAAGATTTTTCGTTTGAATATTATCTATTAAAAATTATGAAAAGAATAGATATTTACTAAAGACTGCAATTAAAATGTTCGATAATTTTGAAATGGTTATATATTTATATAATTTAAAATAGTATTAATATGATGTGAGACTGCTAATGACAGATTTATAGTACTAGGGGAAAAGTATATACACTGAATCTGCTTTTTACTAGGTCAAGTTTATAAACAAAAGTTCATACATTCAGAAACAAGGATGTCTTTTGAGAATATTTATGTAAGCACTTCAAGGAAGGTTGATCATTTTTATTTTGGTTAAATTATTATTTGAAAGCTCTTCACTTAATATAAATTATTGGACAATGAATTGAAATTTTAATATTCAATGATTTCAGTGTTTAAATTAATTAGTGATACTGATATTCACAGTTTATCTCAGAATAATTTTTTAAAATATTTTTACTAGTTTAATATCAAATAAGATAGATTGATCAACAAATCTCCAGAATGTTTTTTACTTACTCTTACTGATATATTTCAACATTGTTATGACCTTCTGAAGTTTTAATTTGTAGCCGTATTATATAGAGTCAATCATGTTAGATAAAACATAAGGTGGATCAAAAGTATACAATAAATGAAAGAGTTCGATTAACAGGTATAAAGTTATCAAGGCTTGCAGTGTGATTTATGAGTTACGCATCCACAAAGACATGACTCTTTAAACCTCCTAGTTCATCATAATTTTCAACTGTTGTTTTAAAATATAAATTGCTAAAGTTGTCTTCAATAAGAAATCAAATCAACATAACATTGAAATGGATAATGTCATTTCATTATGACTGTATTTAACGATCTTGTTTTTCTGTAGGTAGTTACTGCTTATTACTTAAATGTTTGTTGAAAATGCTTAGAATGAAACGCTTTTTAGTAAACTTTAATTGAAGCTTGTTCAATAATTCAAGTGTTATTTTCAAAAGTAAAACTTTTTATCAACTTTCATAAAAATTTAAAATAAATAATTTGCTTTATTTATTATATAATTGAAAAATTAGTTCAAGTAAGTGATGTTGATCAAAGACCTCATCTTCAAGAGTATAATAACTGTTTTGCAGACTCTTGGAACAAACTATGACTTCATTAATCAACTGCGTATTTCTTACAGTCACTATATTTTTCGCTCTAAACACACGCAATTAACTTAAAGGCATGCATGTGTATGGGGCTAAAATCCATGTGATTAAGTCATCTAAGTGTAATGTAGTCAATAATAATAGTTGGGTTTTCATTTACTCAGTAAATAAATTGTACATACTATCAAACAATTTTTCCATTGATTAGTTGAAGGTGAGATATTACTGTGTTGTAATTTACTTTTCTTCGTAATCGAATGCGTTATACATTTGACACGTTCAATGATATTTCTGTTAAGAAAAAACTTTCCATCATTAATTACTTTTTGCAAGTACACACTTAGTGAATTTAATTTCTGCTACATTCTGATTGATTTTTGAATTGGTTAGCGTTCTTTTAGCGAGTTAGTTTTCTACGGGATCGGGTCGCCAACCCTATGCCCGACTCTCTTCCTTTATCAGGGCATGGGACCGGCGGTAGCCTCAGAGAGGCTAACAAGCATAAACAAGTAAGTTATTCTGGTTGATTCCCTGGTATAACATCAAAATGTTGAATAACAATGGAGTTTATGCCTAATCATAAACAATAGTACAACTTTTAACAATGATCTTGACAAGCGGTATGTGATTTATTAGACCAGTTAATCATTTTCTCTGTTGATTTAAAATTAATCATGACATTTATCATCAGTAATTACATTTCTGTAGTGTTTGTTGTGTAGTTTGACAATTTTATATTTATGCCATCTACAGATGAATGATCTTTTTGACAAAAGTGAGCTATTCATTAAAGAACTATATATATAACATAATTACATTTAAGGGTTTAAAAAACCAGCCTCCAGTTATATTATCAAACAGATGAAATGAATTAAATGATACATTTTGATTAAATTGAAAATTGAAAAATTTTAAGTAAATAAATGACATTGAAACTTGAAATGAATTTTTATTTTAGGAAATAGCGATCAAAGATAAAACTTTTCATTGGTAATTAGACACTTTTACTTGAATTAATTACATTCTGATTGAATCGAATAAAAAAATTTGTATTCATTCTCGAAATGAAATTGATTGGAAATTTGAAATCCTACGGATGTATAATACGAATAGTATCGACATAATTTATAAATTAAATTTTTCTGTGAAGCATAGTTTTATGATAATGCCATGAATTGAATTGTTAAACGAAATAAATATGTTACATTTTACTACTCAATGAAAGACCTTATGATGATAGGTGTTCAATATTTTGTTGTTTAAGAGAAGCAACATATATTTTGTGGTTATACAATTATAAATCTGAATATATATATATATATATTATATATAGTACATTATATGATAATTACTTATACTAAAGATTTAAATATTTATGTTTATCAAGGTCAAACACAATTCGGTGTATTTTAATCTATGCTATTCAAATTTGGAAAAACAGTGACTGATAAAAGAACATACCTAGATGAAATAGGTAGTTGAAAACTGTGATTTAGAAGTTGAAAGTTGAACGCTAAAACCCATGTTAATCCAACTCGCCAAAAATCGCTAGCCAAGAAACTTCTCTGGTCAGTGGTCTATACTCCATTAGGGGTAACAGGAGTAAGTGAGTAAGTAAGTAA